AAGATTAGACAGGAAGGAGCAGCCCATGTGTGGTAGACTCATAAATTCAGAAATAATCTTAACCTGAGATGGGAAAAGCTGCCACAAAGAACACTTTAAAACGTTTCCAGAGAGACACAAAATCAACTTCAAATAAAAACATACCCTACTCACTGAAGGACTCAGTGTCATAAACATGTCGATGCTCTCTCGGTTAGTTTATAACTTTAATATAATCTCAATAAAATTACCAACCAGCTTTTCTTCTGGAACTAGACAAACGTTCTTCGTTTCACATGGTGAAGTAAAGAAGAAGAGGCGGGGGAATCCTGACGAGGAGGGAGAATGGTAGAGAGGCCGTCCTCCCAGGTACCACAGCTCACCGGGAAACCTCGGCAACGCCAGGTCACAGACAGGTTCGGGAACGGATGCAGAGATGAGCGAGCGGTGCAGAAGCACAGCCCAGGGGATCCGGTGGTAATGGTGGCATCTCAGGTCTTCAGGGCAGTGCTGGCAGGTTCAGTCGTGGTGGTAGAAGGGCCAGGAAACTGCTGTTCTGTGACTTCTGAGTGCCTCCACAAGGCCACATGGTAAAGGTCTGGTCCAATGGACGGTGGTGGAGAGATTAAGAGGTGGTGCCCAGGGGGAGTTCTCAGGGCATTGGAGGTGTATCTTTAGTGGGACCCTCCTCGTCTCTCCTGGCTTCCCTGCTGCCATGAAGAGGGCCACTTCCTGCAACAGGCGCCCCCCCCAGCCCCATGTGCAACCTCACCATAGGCCCAAAGGCCAGTCAGCCATAGACTAAAACCTCCAAACCATGATCTAGAAGAAACTTAAATTGAGTGTCTCGGGTATTTTGTCACAGTGACAGAAAACCGAGCGACACAGACTAGAATTTAGCTTAAAGAGAGAGCTTCTCTAAATACAGATAGCAGAACCATGAAGCATTAGAAGAGAAACCAGGGTTTCTATTTCAGCTTTAGGGTTATGAAGCTTTTTAGGCTACAACTCCAAATTTAGATGTATTTGGAAGGAAACATTTTTTTAATATATTTTATTTTTATTTTATGTGTATGTGTGTATTGTTTGCATGTATGTGAGTGCACCCGTGTCGTGTAATGCCATGGAGGTCAGAAGAGGGCATCGGATTTCCCTGGAACTGGAGTTAAGGACAGTTCATAGCCTCCATGTGGGTGCTGGGAATCGAACCTGGTCCTCTGCAAGAGCAGCCAGTGCTCTCAACCGCTGAGCCGTCTCTCCAGCCCCCAGAAACTTATTTCTTTAATAAACTTTATGTAGGAAAATACTAATAAAACTGTGTTACAGGTGAAAGAGTGGGTTCCCTCATGTGTAGGAAGTGCCTAGAAACCAAGAAACCACCAGTTCAAAAGGCAAGCCGTCAAAGGGCGTGAAAGCAACACCCCATAGAAGAATTAGTGCAGGTGCTTCGTAGTGACGTGAAGACACTTGCTCTTTCTCATGATTGTTGCAGTGTAGCAGCACTTGAAATAACCAGTGTTTGCCTGTCAGACTGACTAGAGCTGAAGCATCTCACAACATGCTGTGTCCCAAAAGCACCAAGTGATCCAGACCTCAGAACTAATACATTTGTCTTTGATCTAGCAGTTTGCCTTCTGGGAGTTCACACTACAGCTCTGCATGCCGACACAGGAAATAACTTACAGAAGCGGGTTGGCTGTAGTATTGTTTGACAGAAGATGGCTGAGCTGAAAGGTCCAGGCATCCAGAGGAGAGTATATAAATTCCTGATGCCGCAGGAACACTATTAGCACTCGCAGGCAGAGGCTCAAGGCCAGCCTGGTCTACATGGCAAGTTCCAGACCAGCTGGGGCTACAAGGAGACCCTGTCTCAAAAAAACAAAACAGAACAAGACCAAATAATACTAATGAAGTACAAGGAGCCTCCCTGAGGGGAGGAAGGGTGTGTGTCGTGTCACACTAACCCAGCAGGACGCAGCCCACTGCCCCCAGCAGCCCAAGGCATCCCTTCCCCTTAGGACATCCCCCAAGAAACTAGATCTCAACTCTGCCACAGAAAAGTATTTCAGGACAAGCCAGTATGAAGCACATACATGTGTACACCAGGTTAACAGAGGCATGCAGGGAACAAACATGGCACTCCCAAGAACATGTATGAGGGCTTCGAGGGAGAGCCCTGCCCAACTCCAGCAGTGGCCACGTATGCCATTTTGCTGGCTTTCAAGTTGCCACTCAAAGGATTGCTAAGAAACCTTTTTTTTTTTTTCCCCTTTTTGAAAAGTGAGATTATTGAGTGGCTCCAGGGGCCCCTTGGATAGGATTGTAATGTGACCAGATGAAGCCATGGATCACAGGCTTGTGCCAGGGGGTTAAGCCATGGTTTCTATTGTAAACAAGTTTCTGATGAGATTCCTAGAAAACTGCAGGTTTGCAGGTGGGAAAGGAAGCTGTCCACACACTGAGCCTTAACCATTGCTGTCTTAACATTCTTTGTTTTATTAAGACAGCGTCTCCTTGTAACCACAGCTAGCCTGGAATTTACTGTTCAGGCTGGCCTTAATCCCACAGAGATCCGCCTGCCTCTGCCTCTACCTCCCAAGTGCTGGTATTAAAGGTGTGTGCTACCACGCCTGGCTTGTTTTAACATTGTTTGAAATCTTTATACTGCCTCTGTGGGCAGCCTTCAAGGCAGATGCTGTTACTGTGCTGGGACCCTTGACCCCCAGCCAACAAGAGGCTTCAGCCAGTGCTCCTTTCCTTCCCTGTGTTTCCATAGTTTTCCTGGTCTTCCTATCTTGTGTCATATCTCAATCAAAAAGAGCTTATGTGTATGAATGTATTGCCTGCATGTGTGTAAGTGTACCCATTTCACGCAGTGCCCAAGGATGTTGGAAGAAGGCGTCAGATCCCTTGGAACCAGAGTTACAGACAGTTGTTAATGGCCATGTGGGTGCTGGGAACTGAACCCAGGTCCTGTGGAAGAGCGGCTAGTGCTCTTAACTGCTGAGCCATCTCTCCAGCCCATCAATCAAAATTTTCTATAAACAAAAGGGAAACGCTGAACCCTGCCTGGCATGGTACGCCCTTTTGGTGTAGGAAAGTTTGGCCGAGAATGTATATTTACATCTGCTTATGCTTCTGTAACAACACACAAGAGAAGAGACAGTCTGAACGCAGATTGGGGGAGGGGCAGGAGGAGCGAGAGCACCTTCACTGGCTGCACTTTTCCAGAGCACTTGACTTTTGAGCCTGACAGTAGCATGGATTTTACAATGTACAAAAAAAAGGTAAATCCCGAGAGCACCTTCACTGGCTGCACTTTTCCAGAGCACTTGACTTTTGAGCCTTGACAGTAGCATGGATTTTACAATGTACAAAAAAAAGTGTGGAGGCAGGCATGTACACAGCAGACATGTTCACATGCCTTTCACACCCACCTCAGTCACAGCACTGTGGTCCCATTTTGAGGGTTACCCTACACACAGGCGCACCTAGTAGAACAGCTAACAGCTTTTCGATATTTAAAATAATAAACCACCTTTGGAAAACGGCAGTACCTATATGTGAGTGTTAATGCCTCCGCTCACTGGGCCTATGGGAAAGCAGCTGTGCTCAGGTTGGCGGCATGTGGAGCTGTATGGCTTAGGCCTCCCAGTAGATGTTCTGCTGTGAGGAACAGTGAGCTCCTGGGACCAGTTAAAGAGAAATCCCTCCTCGGTGCTCCTGTCTCCAAGCTCGGCTCACTCTGCTGGGTGCACACGCTCCTCATCTCCCTCCATCTCCCTGGGTGTGTGAGCACCCCATCTCCTCCTGTTTCCAGACAGAGTCCCAACAGTTTCTTTGTCCTGTGCTAATTACCCACTAGGCCTCACTTGGCAGCAGTTTTCGCTTGCTGGGTACATCCTTACCTTTCCAGTGCCATGTGCAGTCTTACACAGGAAGGAACTGCTTCCCCGAGGGGCCGGCCCGACTCCAGCATCCCTGCAGTTCCCTGTGCTCACGTGGAACCACAGGGCAGAGCATCTGTGGGTATAAATTCTCATGGGTTGCCCCATGCTGCCCTATACCTTCCTGGTCAAAGTCAGGTCTCCGCCCCCAGAACATCCTTCAGCAGAACATTCCAGAAGGGAAACTCAGATTCGCAGGCCTGACCCAGGGCTTGCTTTTGGTCTCTTCCCCACCTTCCTTTCAAAGATCTGGTTTCCTGAAATCCTGAGACACAGACTTGAGGGAGTCAGAGTGGGTTTCACCATGGCAGAGGGGGTCTACCAAGCAGACCTTTCGGTTTCCTGGTCCACCCCACCTTCTTACTCCAACCTTAATATATCACTGCTGTGCTTGATGGAGGAAGACAGCAAATATGGTATAAGGGCCCTTAGGAAGCCACTGGGCGATTCTTGGCTGCCAAAATGCCCTGTAGTTGAAGCCCGTCTGTCCTCCGCTGAGCCTAATGGCAAAGTGTGTCCTGTCACTGATTTTCCTGCCCTATGGTCTTGTTTTCTTTTCACCTCCACGGGGCTGTTGGCCTAGGGCACTCATACCAAAGTGAGCAGGTCAGGGGAATTGCACCCAGCCGGTATCAAGTGCTGCATGGGGGAACGGTATGCAAATGGCACCTATGAGCTTTGGAGATGAAGGCAGATGTGTGAAGAGTAGTTATTGCTGTTCTCCATGGCACGACAACCTTATCAAAACAGATCTTTTAATATATGCTTAGTAATCACCAGACTCCACTTTTGAAGGCATATTGAAATTATCATTTCAGATCTTCTGACTTAGAGGCTCACATTCAGAATTAGTAGGATATGAATTAATGACACTTTATTATTCTCTGATGAGACATGTTTAAGGAGCTTCCCGATAAACGTGTAGGCCTTGATTTGACTTGTTAAAGCTGTGGTTTGCAAACAAAGAAAGGCGCCTTCTCCTCTCTGAACATTGTTGCTGCTACTGCTGCTGCTGCTGAAAGCATGGGCAGTCTCCTGGTCCTGGGGCCAAATCTTCGTAGGGACAACAGGTCAATGCTTCTAGCTTGTTTGTTGACTGTGTCAACTAAAGCAAGGAGCCTGTGAAGTGTATGTGATGTATGAGATTCTGGCTGGGCTCAGAAGTCTTCAGCCTCAGCCAACCACCCCATCTCCTAGTTCCCACTTCAGCAGGGCCAGCCAGTGTCTTCCTTAGCCCATCCCTACCACCGTGCCATCGTGAGGAAGAAATGCTCCTGAGCCCCTGAGGAAGGGAAGGTCATACAGGGTGTGATTACCAAGCAACCAGCTGGGACCTTGCTGTTCTAGAAAGCCAGGGGTGCTGAAGCAGGATGTGACATCCCTCAGTCTAATTATGTTATGTGTCTGAGTGTATTGCCTGCATGCATGTAAGTGCACCCATGTTGTGCAATGCCCTTGGAGGTCAGAAGAGGGCATCAGATCCCCTGGAACTGGAGTTAGAGATGGTTGTTAGCCAACATGTGGGTGCTGGAATTCAAACCTGGGTCCTCTGCAAGAGCAGCCAGTACTCAACCACTGAGCCATCTCTCCAGCCTCTTGTTCTCTGTTCTTAAAATCCCAGCCCTGGGTTCTTTGAGGGTGTCCATCCTCTAGAGCAGAGCTTGCTGGGAGCTAGTGAAAGGTAGCAACTTACCCTGAGTGCTTTCCCCTGAGTGTCTCCTGGTGCTGGTCCCAGAAGCAGTTACCACTGTGGATACCCTGAGTCCATCTCTCCAGGAATCCCAGCGCCTTTCATTCATGTGCCATGCGACAGCTTTCTGATGGCTCTTATATACATTACTTAATCTTTGCCTCACTAAGCACGAAGCTCTAGACCTTAGCTGGGCCCCACCCAGGAAGGAAGGAGAACCTGATCTTGAACCTATGGTTGATCTTAAGCCATTCTGCCTTTCCTCTTGTCCTCAACTCTGAAGACCTGGAGCCTCTGAATGTCTTAGGTGAGATCATGTCCTTCCTGTGAGGAGCCGGCACTTCCAGATCCATCCCCATCGTCTAGCCTGGTGGGAGGTGGGGCAGCTTTAGAGCTGGGGCCAGGGCTCCCACCGTGGTGATGCTTTGTGCCACAGGAACCCGCTTTCCAAAGCCTCAGGCCTGGCCAGGCCTTGGTCCCGCCCTCCACACTCACCTTGAGGGTCTTTGGTACCACCAATACCCCTGTGACCTCAGCTTTGATCTGGCTCAGGCTTGGTGCCCCCTATCTTGAATAGCTCCGGCTTTGTGCACCCCCACGTCTTGAGGGGGTCACATAGGTAGTGCTGCCCCACCCCTCCATCCCCTTTGGTGTTTTTGTCTGTACCTCACGTGGCCCCCACTAGGCTTCCCGGCTCTGATGTGACCTCTGTTAGTTACTTTTCTCATTGCTGACACAACACGTGACAAAAGCAACTCACGGAAGGAAGAAAGTGTATTCTGGCTCAAGTGCAAAGGCAGCATCCACAACGGTGGGGCAGGAGGCAGTCAGGGAGCAGAGAAGCGCTGCTGCTCAGCTCATTTTCTCCTTTTTATTCAGCCCGACTCCAGCCCGTAAAGTGGTGCCACCCACACTTAGGGTGGGTGCTGCTGCTTCCGTTAGCCCAGTCGGAAAACTCCCTTATAGACATGCCCAGAGATTTGACTTCTAATGATTCTCCATCCTGTCAAGCATTAACTGTCACATGACCCTTCCAGCCCAGCCTGCAGGGTTGCTGCCTGCTGGCCTGAGACCTGGCCATGTCATCCCTTGTTCCTCAGCTTCTGCTGGCCTTCATTGCCTTTTGGCACCTGATCACTTGCTCCACCCCCCACAGACTGCTTCCTTTCTGTTGGGTCCTCCCCATCATTCCCTCCTGTTCCTACCCTTGAGCTCCCTGTGGCTTCTCTGGCCATTGCCAGCAGGAATCACCATGTACCGTAACTATCCACTCAGCGGTCTCCCCTAGCAGTTTTGCAGAGCCTCCAGTATGTGGCACGTGATGACAGCACAGGTGTGGTCATGTTCGTAGGAAGCGGTCAGTTGGGTTAGAAAGAGCCGCATCCCTGGTGGATTCTCTAGCACTTACATTAGACCTCCCATTCTAGAGCTTTGCATTTGGTTAGGAACTGGGATCTCTAAAGTACCAGGAAATGTTTTGAGGCAGAAGGCCAGACAAAATCCCTAAAAGCTTCAGCCAGCACTGGCACTAGAGAACCAGGAATATGGTTGCGTGTTGGGTGTGTTCAAGTGTGGAAGGTGAGAGGAAGGAAGCATAAGAAGAAAGAGGGAGCTTGAGAGAACCAGAAGCATGAAGGAATGAAGTCTGGCTTGGGAGGAAGCGGGAGCCTGACGGGAAGTGAACCTGGGCAGAAGGAAGGAGCCTGACAGGAAGTGGACCTCGGTGGAAGGAAGGAGCCTGACAGGAAGTGGACCTGGGCGGAAGGAAAGGGCCTGAGAAGAAAAAGCAGGGCGACTGGACTAGGACTAGGAAAAGGGAAGGTGAACATAGACAGCATGTTTCCTAAACCAGTCACCAGCAACCAGGTAGCCAGAGGGTGTCTTTCGGAGTGTACGCATCTCTTCTGAGGATGTGTAGGATTCCAGCCTTTTCCCCTGCGGGCTGTTGTCTCAAATGGAAACTGGACATGACGTAGTCCCTGCACATTTACCCATACCCCATGAGAAACTGTGGGAACCCTGCAGGTACCTGCACTCATGGCCTCTCATCTCTGTCTCCTTTTTTCCCTCCAGTCATGCCAGGCTGACCTCGTGAAGGACAACGGTCACAAGTACTTCCTTTCCGTCTTGGCAGACCCGTACATGCCAGTAAGGACTTAACTGCACTTCTCCCTCACAGTCCCCGGATTGTCTCTGCACGCACCTTAGGGGTTTGCCATTCCTCTCTGAGGGCCTTATGTGCCAGGTGGCTCCTGGAGAGGCGCCCTGTGTCACTCATGGGTGGTCACCTCACTGCCCACAGTGCACATTGCTCCATGACCTCCCATTCCCGAATGAGAATTTTTGTCCTCCTGTGCCTGTGGGTCAGCTTGACTTGGTTCACATCCACCAGCTGCCATTTTACATCTCTGCCCTACAGTGGCATCTCCTCTCCCCCAGATCTGTACCCCAGATGGATGAGCACCTACGCATCTACAATATGATGCCTGGGTACCTCTGACGTTCCCATAACAGGACAAGATGTCGGCATGCCTTACCATGGGAAGGAAGAAAGAAGAAAGATTATTTGAAAGCTTGAATTTTGTATACACTTACATTGTTCAAAAATTAGATGTCATGAGTAGTACATAATAATTTCTTAGAATATTTTATCCCTAGTTTCTTTGGTGTCTGCCTGCAGCTGCTGAGCCCCGTAACGCAGGCAGTAGCTATCCGCAGTAGTCCTTTAACGCAACTACTTTACCAGAATGTTTCAGAACCACAGCATATTTACTGTCATAGGCTGCTTTGGTTGTGAAGAACTTTGATGTGTAAATTCTCCGTCTGATTTTTTTTTTTAATGAAATGATATACTTGCTGAAAAGAAAAAGAATCAAACCAGCAGCAATAGTGTGAACAGACTGGTGTGCGAAAGATGCTTCCGTGCTGAATTAAGCCAGCACAGTCGTGTGACCAGGCTGGTAGGTAAAATGTAAGTGGTGCTTCCGCACTCTGCCTCAGTGATGTATGTCTGCATTACCACGGGCGGCCAAAGTTCACACTTCCTGCAGATTTTGGAAATATGTCGTGCCTGCCCTTCAGGATAAGTAAGAATGCAAAGGAATGAGAAAGAGTTGGCAGTTGCAGTTTGTGCATGGTCACAAGCTTAGCTGGCCTCTGTGGCCCTACCCAGAGGAAACCCTCAAGTTCCAGGGACCAGGGATCTGGTGGACAGTAGTTGTTGCCACCACAGTGGCCTCTGGGGCATCATTTTCCACGTGGATCCTGTGTAGGAGATAAGGCCCCGAGCAGGTCACATTGCCGAGGGCTACAGCCCTGCTCACACCAGGGGTCTTCAAGATGTGCTCTGCCCCCTCATTAAATAAGGGCTAGTGGAACTTGTCCTGCTTTTGAGAAGCCGATCGTCTGTGAGCATCGCCGAGAAGGAAGGAGCTGCCAAGAGAAACAGAAACCTCAGCCCTGCTCCTCGTGTAGGGCTAGGTGTGAGTTTGCACTGCGGGTGAGTGGGAATGCCACAGAAACATCCAGATCTCTCAGGTCTGTGGCCCTGAAGTTACAGTGCATACCCTTCCTGCAGGGAACCTGTGCCCCAAGGCTCAGGGACTCTTCCAGGGAGCACAGCCTGCCCTGAAGCCATGGTTTGCAACAGCAGAGGGAAGGTGACCACAACAATCAGGAGAGCAAGCACCTGGAGCCAAAGCTGGTGGGATTCCCTGAGAAGACAGAAGTACAGTCAGTGCTCAGGGTGACTGCACGGTGGACAGCTTGGTTGAGTCATGTCCATCGGCCATTGTTATTTCCTTAGAAACAGTTGGAGCCAGCTGTAAGGAAAGTCTGCTCTTCACCCATCCCTAAATGATGGTTTGTAAGACACGCAAATCTTGGAAGTGGGGCAGAGTTCAGCCTATAGTGGGAGAAGAGGCAGCTCCATCATTGAACCCAGCAGGTGACTCACACAGCAGACACAGCCAGTGAGAGAACTGGTGACGACCTGAAGGTGCAAAGACGTGAGAGATGGACTGGAAGGCAGACAAGTCACTACCATCCTTCCAGAGCGAGACAAGGGAGGCAGAAACATCTGGACAGTGACTACAAGTTGCCCAGAACTGGAGAGAGAGGCACAGTGAATCCCAAGACCACTAAATAAAAAGCCACACAGACATGGCGTAATGCAAGTAGCAGATATCAGAAGCATAAAGAAAATCCAGACAGCAACCAAAATACACACACAAGGGTGAACAGCAACTGCACAGTGACATCTCATCGCAGTGACCCTCCCTACTGAGCTGTACTGCTGCCTGAAATGGTGAAGTGTAGACATTTTGAGACAAAGGCTGGTGGTTTGGCACTTCTGGTGCCTGGAAGATAGTGATCTGGACTGTGTTGCAGTGAGGGCGGTAAGACACCACAGGAAGCAGCGAAAAGAAAGCACACGTTGGAGGCCGGTGCTGGAGACGTAGCTCAGCGGTTAAGAGCACTGACCACCCTTGCAAAGGACCCGGGTTTAGTTCCCAGCACCTGCATGGTGACTAACAACTGTTAGAACTCCCGTTCCAGAGGATCGGACACCCTCTTCTGACCTCCAAAGGCATTGCACAGTGTGTGTGTCCTTACCTACATTAAAGCAATACACTCATAAAATATCAAAACAAAAAGAAAGCACATGGCCAACATGCTGGTGATGTAAAGGGAGATGCTGCTGCTAATTGTTCACTAGACAGATTGGAGGGGGAAGGAATACTGTATTGAAGGCACCCTAACAGCCTCACAGCAGTCCAAGGATGGTACAAAATAAGACTGTTCATGAGCGTGTAGAAAAAGTAAGATACCTACCATAAAGTAGCCAAATGGACTGTTGGGTTTCCAACCACGGAGAAGAGGAATCTAAAAGGAAAATGATCAGTCAGTAGAAGAAACAAAGCAAGTTAAAGAGCACTGCACTCACTTTACTGCCCGTGTGCTTGGCTAGGGACACAGGCCTGCTTACAGCTGCAGAGGGGAGAGCGGGGTTGTCGGGTCTGTCAGACTGAGTAACGCAACCACCCGACTTATCTGCCATGACAGGATGATGGAGCAGCATCTGGGCCTGTTGTATAGCATTAGCACCCACAGTAATAGCCTGTCCGTGCATACAGACCAAAGCTGCCAGACCCTTAAAAAATGGTGCAGAAGACAGCAAGAAGGCTAAGGCTCGGTGCCTTGATTATATGCATGCAGTTAATGGAGAAGGCTCTGGAAGGTGGTTCAGTGCTCTTTGGGAAGGTGAGTCTCCACTGTGGGGAAGGTGCACAGCTGCTATGCATTTTTTTTCCAGGCTGAACATCGGACCATGACAGCTTTCATTCTTGCTGTAATTGTCAACAGCTACACAACAGGGCAGGTGAGTCACAGCCACTCCATCCACCAGAGCTCCTCCCAGCATGGCAAGGGAGGTGACCCATCTCAAATGTATTTAAGAGCAGGGGTGCCGCCCAGGCCACATTTGCAGAAGAAGCTGTTGTTCCAGTGATCTGTGGGGCCACCAGAGCGCCCTAGCAGGCAGGCCTGGCAGTGTTCTCAGCAGAAGCCTGGTCCTTCATTTAGCCTGCCGTTGCAGGGAAAGTCTGAATTGACAAGAATCACAGAGAAAGAATGCAGCAAATGGCATGGTGTAATGAATAAAGCTTCCCACAAAACCACCCCTGCTGCCACCCCAGTCAGGCCCTGGTCCTGGCCCTGGCCCCAGGTCCAAGGACAGAGGACCACCAGATCTTTCCTGCCTGTCCAGGAAGCCTGCTTGCAGGGGAACCTGATTGCCATCTGCCTGGAGCAACTCAGTGACCCACACCCCTTGCTGCGCCAGTGGGTCGCCATTTGCCTGGGAAGGATCTGGCAGAACTTTGACTCCGCAAGGTGGTGTGGGGTGAGGGACAGCGCCCACGAGAAGCTCTACAGCCTCCTCTCAGACCCCATCCCTGAGGTGAGTTGTCCTCACATACGTAGCTTCCAAGCTGGGTCAGTGATAGTGGGTATGAAGAGGTCCTTTGGGAATAATGTGTAAGAGTCTGCCCACTCTCAAGCATGACCATCCATCCAGAAACTTCAGGGTTGGGGCTGGAGAGATGGCTCATGGATAAGAGCACTAGCTGCTCTTGAAGAGGACCCAGGTTCGGTTCCCAGCATCCACATGGTGGCAAACAGTCATCTGTAACTCCAGTTCTAGGGGATCCATCGTCCTTTTCTGACCTCCATAGGCATTGCATGACACTGGTGCACTTACACGCAGGCAATACACTCGTACACATAATATAAAAATAATAAAATATTTTTTAAAAGAAGAAACTTAATAGCTCGGCGTGGTGGCACACACCTTTAATCCCAGCACTTGTGAGGCAGAGGCAGGTGGATCCCTGTGAGTTCGAGGCCAGCTAGTCTCCATGGTGAATCCAGGACAGCTGGGGCTACAGGGAAACCCTGTCTCAAAAAGACCCCCCCCCCAAAAAAAGATAAGGGCCTTGACCTCTCCATTGAGAAAGTACAGGGAGAAGTGAATAGTGGGGCTCTGCTGACATGCAGGATGGCAAGAGAAGGCTTGCTAAGCCCTGGTCAGAGCAGCAAATGGGAGCCTTCCAGGGGATTTTCTAGTTTGGAACTTTAGGTTCCTCTGGCTTTCCCTGTCGCACAGCTGCCCTGTTACTTCCAGGGCTGAAATCTGGCTCCTGCCTTTCCCTGAATTACTGATGCCTCCCAGGTCCTGGGTTTGTGCGTGCCTGTGCAGTCACCCCTTCCTGATGGAACAGGCATTTGTCACCTACAGTTGTCTAGGGTAGGTCCATGTGCTCCCTTCATCCAGGGAGTTGGGCTCTGTAGAGGCTCATCCATCTTCCCAGGTCACTTGAACATTTACACACAGATGACAAAGGGAGACTTGGTTACAGACTGGATTTCAATGTGGATAGGGGAAACTGATATAACCCAATGTCTTTCAAAAATGATTGCGATGTATCTTTTTGTAAGCCAAGGGTCTAAGCTACAGCTGTGTGGAAAGTCCAGTCTTGGCCTCAACTTTACAGGGCAATCCCGAGCTGCCCATGTGTGCACATCAGTCGGGCTGTCTTTGAAAAAGTGAGGCCATGTGTCCCCAAACATGCCAGGGACAGCTCCATGCCACCCATTGTGGTCTGAGGCCCCACTTTGGCCTTGGAGAGTCCCAAGTAGGTCAGGTTCAACTTTCCCAGTTACTCCACAAAGCAGACTATTTCTGGTAGAGATGCCTAAAATGAACTTGCCAAGACAACTTGAAAGTGTCTAGGGAAGAAGCTTATACATCGGTATGAGGGCGGAAATCCTGCCTCAGCCACCCACTGGAGACAACCACTTGCCCTGCCCAGAGGGCTCTACATCTGGGTGTTTCCCACAGATGGATGGGGTCTGTTGGGGACAGCCCAGGAGTGCTTGGCCATGAGAGGGCAGCAGTGATCACGTGGACTGCCAAGACCACCTACAGCTGCTCAGCACTGCTGACAAGGTGTCCGTGAGAACCCTGAACAACCAGGTCCCCAGACCCCCAGCCCTGCCACAGCTCAGCTCTTCCCCTAATCGCCATGCAAATCCACACTGAAATGTCCTAAAAAGAGTTTTCTTGATGGTGCTGGTCCTTTTTCTTAGCTGGAAGAAGGTAGCCTGCTTTCCTCCATCATCCTGGGGTTGGCTCCTCAGTGAGGCTCAGAGCCACCTGTGTGAGTAGCAGGTGGACTGGAAGGCATTTGGGGTGCACAGGCTCTGAGCCACCCCCTAGATCTGCAGTACCACCACCTCCCCATCTGCAGATTGGGAAGGACCTACCTAGAGCCTGCTGTGTGTGCCTCTGGGTGGCAGTGGCTCATAGCCTGAGGACTAGAGCTTCTTGCCTCCCCCTCTATTTGAAAATCCACAGTGTGAGCTGGTCTATGGACTCTAGAGGAGACTCACTTCCTGCCACCTCTGCCTTTGACTCCCAGGCATCCTCTCCTTTTCTACTCATCAATACCAGTGTAGCTCTGGACCTGGAGTACTGCTCAATAAGTGTTTGTGAGATCGAATTGAGCTGAACTTATCTGAACTGAATTGGATTAACTCTCAGGCAATCCTGGCAGAAATGCAGATGGCAGACATGCCGGTGTGGGTAGGACTTGACTCCCTGTCCCTGGCTTGCAGGTCCGATGTGCTGCTGTCTTTGCCCTTGGCACCTTTGTGGGAAACTCTGCAGAGAGGACAGACCACTCCACCACCATCGACCACAATGTGGCCATGATGCTGGCCCAGCTGATCAGTGATGGGAGTCCCATGGTCCGGAAGGTACGTGGGCACCAGCTCAGCAGGAGCACCAGGGGCCCATGGCTGCCCATATGCTGCCTGGAGCTGAGCCAGCATAGAGGGCCTCATGTCCCATGTGTGTCCATCATTTTGAGTACAGATAAATGTACATCTTCATCTGTGGTATCTGTTCACCATGCAGGCTGAATCGCCTACAGCTTTCACAGAGCAGCCTCCTCCTGTCTGGGCACAGCCACACAGCACTGGGCCTCTAAAGAGCAGTGGCAGGTGCTACAGTCTGGCCCCTCACTCCACCCTGTGCTTGACTGCAGCAGAGTCTCAACTTCTGTTACCCATGGTTCATGCCTTCACAAAAGATGATTCCATGAGACCCTGATTCCCTGTCTTCCCCAGCCAGCAAAGGCTGTCGCAGAGACTGTTCGTCAGGTGGGCAGGGAAACAAGACTGCCCACAGTGGCCACAGGTTCATGAGCTGTCACCGAGAGCCGCTGGGCCTCTTTCTCAGCGTTTCTGTGCAGCTATTTGGAGCTCCTCAGCAATAGACCCATGGGAGGCTAGGCATGGCTCTGGGTTGCCTGTCTGGAGAGCAGGTGCATGGCTGACTTGGACGGAATCTAATCTGAACACTGTTGCTTTACCCAGAGTCAAAACGTGATGAAGGGCACTTCATCTCTGGGCCCTCCTGAGACCGACCTGAGTCACCTGTGTCAGATTTTCTGACGTAGCCTTAGCTTTGTGGGGAGGTCTCAGGTCCCTTGTCATGGATTCGGTTCCATTCTTCTTGTCCGCAGGGCCTCTGCACCTGCCTGCTTCAGCCTGCCCCAGGTTCTGCTTTCCATCAGGTTCTCTCAAGGGGATGCAGCTGTTTAAAGCAGACCTGTATTTTCTTTGTCTTTTAGAATTCTTTTCAACAAAGGAAAGCTTTCATCCTCCTTTGCAAAAACAACTTAAGTTACACATAGAAATGCTAATTGAAATCCCTGTAGTCCTAGTATCTGGAGAGTGGTCCTGAGGCCTGCAGCAGTGTCCCAAGGGCCCCAAGTGTGGCCCTGTCTGTTTCTGCTTGTGCTTCTGCCGTAACCCTGTGAGGAGCTCAGGTCCTAGACTTTGGAAGGCCAGTGTGCCTCATTTCCACCACAGATCCACAGCAGCCTCCCACATCACACTGAACTCCACCCTGTCCATAAAGTGCAAAACCGGAAAACTGGCCGTGGTCAAGCCACTCTGCCTCGTCTGGCGGGACCAGGTGAGCTGGGCAGCCTTTGACCGCCCCCAGAGTTTTTGTGCTGGGGCCTTTGTTCACAGCTGTCTTGCTGTTGTTAGCCTCAGGCACTGTTCACATACTTTATCTTCATTTATATGTGGTTAAACAGACCCATAGAGGTAGGTCTGTTCTGCACCTCCTAGCTGCCTGCCTTCCTTAGCCACGGTTTGACTCAAACCAAAACTGGTAGAGAATCAGAGACACAGGGCCTGCTGGGGACCATGGTGGAGGACATACCTCTAAATCCCAATGCCTTCTCCCAAAGCAAACCCCATGAGGTGCTCACACTTGACACAAAAATATGTGCTCTGCCTGGACCTGGCTCAGCTACCATGGTGGCAGCACTGAGCTTTGCATTCTGTGACTGTGGACCACAAAACACTTGTTGACCCATGCTTGTTGGAACATGAACCTGTTGCAGCCATGGTGGTCACGGAGGAAGACAAGCAAGGAGAATAACAGGGTGGACACCTGTCTCCAAGCCCAGTGCAGAGTGGTGTGCGTTCCGAGCAAAGTGTCCTGGAACTGACAGGCTACTCATACAGAGTGAGGGTGTGTGGAGAATCAGAACACATGAAGGACAAAGTTCTGTGTGTTCAGCCAGCACTTAAAAGCATATTCTGTGGGCCAGGACCTATTTGGGCCTTGGTGACCCAACAGTGGCTTTCTCTCAGGAGGTTGTCCTGAGGGATGGGATGTTGCCCAGTAGTATAGGCCTTGGGTTCCATGCCAGGGACCAGGGGTGGTGGTGGGGGGACACTTTCCTAAGATCAAGCACAGCAGAGAGCAAAGCACGAGCAAGGCTCCTGTCTGAAAAGACGCCCCTACACAGGGAAGGCAGTAGCCAGGCAAGACTGCACAGAGGGCTGAGTGGGAGGGGTAGAAGCATCCGGGAAGGTGACTACCCAGGTGGACAGGCCTTGCTTTGTTCCGTGCGACCTGAGGATTTGGAGATAAGCAGGACTTCGTCCTATGGGAATGGAGGCTCAGCCACCCAGGGAAAAGATGCTGCTAGCTGGGGCTGGGGTGGATTCAGTATGCATGAGATTAGAAAGCTGAGCATCCAGGGATGGAGAAGCATGGGACTTGAAGGGTGAGGCAGGAGGGGCAGGGATGACCTCTACGGTTTTGGTTTGAGCATGAGCAGGACAGAGCTACTGCTTGCTGACCTGGGCAGGGCTGTGGATGAGTGGGCTTTGGATGCAAATCAGAACAGCTAGAGTGGAATGTACAGATGGCACACCGAGACATGCCCAGCAGTGACAGGGACAGCGGGTGCCTTTAGCAGACATCTGTCCCAGGGCCACAGAAACCTGTGGCCATTGGAGCAGTTCCCACTGTGCACAGTGTGTATATGAGACCCAAAGCCTGTGTACACAGGCTGGCACTAGGCTGACCACTGAGTACAGGCTTTACCCATGCTCCAGAATGGACTTTTGTGTTGCTGTGATAGAATGACCAAGGGAACTTATAAAAGGAAGAGTTTATTTAGCTTATGGTTCCAAAAGGGCAAGAGTCCATCATGGCTGGGAGGCATGGTGGCAGAGGTGGCTGGAGGAGGAGCAAAAGCTAAGCTCTACATCTTCAAGCAGGCACAGGAAGCAGAGAACAACTCGAGATCTGGCAAAGTTTAAGAATTCTGTAAACCCGCCCCCAGGGACATGCTTCCTCCAGGATAACCATACCTTCTAAGACCTCCCAAAACAGTGCCACCAACTCGGGACAAAGTGTCCGAATACTTGGAGCCTGTGGGGGACATTCTCATTCAAACTACCACAAACACCTTGGCCAGACCTTCTGTGTCCTGAGTGGACATACCAAAGAATGCTCAGTAGATGTGCTCTGTCATCAGAGGGCCCCATGCAGAGGCAGAAGGCCTTTGTCCTTGCTAGGCACAGCCTCTCAGAGTTAGGCATGCTGTCTGCAACAGGAAACACTCCTGATCTTTTCACTGAATGGCAGGCTCACTCTTGGTAGCCTTTTATGAGCCAAAGTACAGGAACCTTGGTCTGGATTACCCTATTGAGGGCCAGCACCAGTTTCTCCGCTTACATAGGTGTGAAGGGGGAATGCCCTTCTTTCTGAAGACAGGTTTCTGAAGAAGTCTGAAAACAAACTCCTTTCCTGGATGGGGCCCAATCAGCTTGTTAGGCATGTCTAGGAAACGTTAACTTATGGGTAAAACAGGCTGACTTGGTGGCAGTGGCTTAGGCAGCTGCAGAGGACCACCAGGCACAGGTTGACAGTGGAGGTGAAGACTCAGCAGGCCCTCACCCTCAGCCTAGTCTGTGTCATCCCCTAATGTTGTGATGTGGGAGGGGTGGGAGGAGGCTAATGCTGAGGCTCTGGCCTGAGCATCACAATCTGTAGGTCCCTGAGCACAGTCGAGAAGTTGCTAGAAGTCTTAAGTGCAAAGAGATGATCCGGCACAGCATGGAGCAAAGTGAGTTTGAGGTTTGGGGGAGCATGCCAGCAGGGCTACAGTAAGCTCTTAGAAAGGCCAGCCTAGAGCTTGGAGAGGTGAGGGTAGACTCTAAAACGGGATTGGGGGAGCCGAGAAATATGTGCAGTTGAGGTATGCCAGAGAATTCAAGAAAGGGAACGGTAACCCAAGGGGGCCTGGCACCTCCTGTCTGCAGCCCAACTGGTCAGCCCTCAGCAGCCTTGAGGACCAGCTGGTCAGCCCTCAGCATCCTTGAGGACCAGCTAGTCAGGCCTCAGCAGCCTTGGACCAGCTAGTCAGGCCTCAGCAGCCTTGAGGACCAGCTGGTCAGGCCTCAGCAGCCTTGAGGACCAGCTGGTCAGCCCTCAGCATCCTTGAGGACCAGCTGGTCAGCCCTCAGCATCCTCGAGGACCAGCTAGTCAGCCCTCAGCATCCTCGAGGACCAGCGGTCAGCCCTCAGCATCCTCGAGGACCAGCTGGTCAGCCCTCAGCATCCTCGAGGACCAGCGGTCAGCCCTCAGCAGCCTTGGGGAGGTGGCTTCATAGAGCAGACAAGGGTCTCAGCAGACCTCTGTCTTCTATCGAATATCTTTCTCTGTACTGAAAGGAGGGAAATACTTTCACAAAACTAACATTCCATTTTGTTTTCTTGTGACTTTTTAATCATTTATGTTGTCCTAAAACACATGTAAATTGTGTCTTATCTCCTTGGACTCAGACATTTGGGCTTAGCTGTCATGTCTTAATTCTAGGACTTTTCTCATTCCCTCTTAGGGACTGGAATCTACCATAGCTGTGGAAACTTGTTGCTTACTGTAAAGAGCATGCCTCAACTTGTCAGGTGTGCCCAGCAGTCCATCAGCTGGGATCCAAAGAGGCAGTTTTGGCCAAGGTCACAGGACTAATTATAAACACTTCAGAAATGTGATATTTACATCATTTCTTCAGAAAGGCTTGGATTGATCACCCCTACCTAGCAGCAAATGAACAAATTGGGTCAGGTCTACAGACCACCCTGGATGCCCTTCATCAGCCCCTGCTGAAGTGGAAGACCCTGCTTCTGCTCTCTGGTTCTCTGTTTTGTTTTTTTGAGGCAGGGTCTCTGTGAAGATCAGGCTGGCCTTGAACTCCCAGAGCTCCACCTGCCTCTGCCTCCTCCGTGCTGGGATTAAAGTTGTGTACCACCACGCCCAGCCTGCTCTCTGGTTTCCGATGCTGAGTGCAGCCTTGCTCTGACCTTCCATTACCTACCATCAACTTAGGGGTTAGCTTGCAGTCAGGGGCAGTTTCCTGCCCCCACGAACATAATTGTGCCTCCTCTCTCTCAACAGGAGCTGGTGGTGGCCCTGAGCCACCTCGTAGTTCAGTATGAGAGCAATTTCTGCACTGTGGCCCTGCAGTTCATGGAAGAAGAAAAGAATTACCCTTTGCCTTCTCCAGCGGCCACAGGTATAGCAGCTCCTGGGAGCCAGTGACCGTCTCCCTGGCCTCTCCTTTGGGCCAGGTCTGAGCATGGGTTTCTCATACTTGTTGTGAGTAGTCCTGGGTGCTCCTGTCATCACAGACCTTCAGACGAATACAGAGTACAGGGAAAGGGCCACACTGACCCTCTTACTCTTCCCCTTCCTTACCTTCTTGGAAATGAAGTTTGTGGCCATCTGGAAGGGTAGCAGGCCTTCCATGGGGCGTGCTGAAAAGAACATAGCCATCGTCCTGTGATGAGTAATCTAAGCACATTGTCAGCTTTGTGTTCCGTGAGTCACGTCAGGAAGTGGCTCTTCTCACGTTTGTCCTTTCTGCTGGAGAGTGCCGTCATCGTCCACACTTGTGTGTCATCTCCCTCCCTCCAGATCACAGTAAAGAAGCTTGTGATCAGTAACAAAGCATTCCTGCTCTAGTTGGGAAGGAAAGGAAGACTGAACTGGGTGAACACAGCCAGTGAGGTGGAGTGGCAGCTGCCAGCGGCTGGGGGATCCTGCCCAGGCCCCATGTGCTGCAAGTCCCTCTGCTGTCACAGCCTGTGCCACTAGACACCTGGAGTGGCCTCAGAATGGCCACTATTGCCCTTCTGGTCCACGCTATCTTTTGTAATTTAATACTCACAGAACTGCAGATGGTTCCTTTGTCCCACTGAGTCTCACAGTCATGTCAGGTTTTAAAGGCCCTTCTTGGAAGTGCTCCACCATTGAGCACCATCCTCGGGCCTGAAAGGCTCTTCATTGCATTTGTCCTTGTCCCACTACACCAGCCATCCCTGTTGCCATGGCTCCAGACTCCAAACATGCGTCATGTTCCCATCCTGAAGCCCACTTCTAACCTTCCTTTCTCCCTCTTTCCTAGAGGGGGGGAATTTGACCCCAGTGCGAGACAGCCCATGCACCCCCAGACTCCGTTCAGTGAGCTCCTATGGGAACATCCGAGCTGTCACCACAGCTAGGAACCTGAACAAATCTTTGCAGAATCTGAGCTTGACGGAAGAATGTAAGACGCTGGGAACCAGTACTTGGGGTAGGAGGGTTTAGGTCCTTTGTGAAACATTCATCTAAATTCTGCTCAGCACCATGCCCCCGCCCTCCAGAAACCTGGGCCCTAATGTCATGTGGGCCTGTGACTCGCTAGCTGTTCTCGAGTCAGAATCTTCCTTCTAGACATGGGCATAGCAAAGACCTAGTTCAGCACCCAGAACAACTAGGGGGCCTGTGAAAGACCTCCCGCAGTCAGGCTCTGATCCCAGTCTCCTGTCAACCGTTGGTTCTGTGCAGGGATCTCAGTTCCAGGAGAGGTCGGGGGGGCGGGGGGCTGCACACTTGTGTCCTCATGTGTGTATGCACCTATATAGATCAGTGTGTGTGTGTGTACCCAGTGTGAAAAACACATTGCAGTCAGGCTGGGCATTACCTGTAAGACCCTGACCTCCTGCCTGTCATGTCCTTGCCAGCGGGCAGCTCAGTGGCCTTCTCCCCCGGGAATCTCAGCACCAGCAGCAGCGCCAGCAGCACCCTGGGCAGCCCCGAGAACGAGGAGTACATCCTATCCTTCGAGACCATCGACAAGATGCGGCGGGTGAGCTCCTACTCAGCCCTCAACTCTCTCATAGGTGAGTCCTCTGCCAAGGGTTTGGACCCCAAAATAGCACAGCCTTCATTTGAGTCAAATGAATGAGCTAAATATCTCAGTTGGATGAGAAAGAATAGAAGTTACTGGAGCTTGAAGAGGTGAGAACATTTTACAGTGCAACCCTGGACCTGACGGACGGTGTTTTACAGGCTGGTCCAGGGATTCGTGAGCTCGTTGGCTTTCTCATGCAGGAACGCTGCCAGATGAGTCCGTCTGTCTGTCTTCGTGTTCCTCATGTGTGCTCACCCTGGCAGTGTGAGTGGTGTCTCAGCTGAGACATGCTGCTTAGCATGGCCAGGCTGAAGTGGAGGGCAGGCTTAGGGTGTGCAGGGGCCAGGGGTGCTGTTCAGTGTCCTCGGTGCCCAGGAGAGCCCTGCGGCCAGCAGTGGGAGGTCAGGAGCCTGCTGAGTAAGGCAGTGGGTGTCACTCACCTTGAAGGACCCTTGGTACCCACCTGCTGAACCTCCACCTAGCCTGGCAATTTGACCCGTCACTGCTTGGAAAGTGGAGTTTAAGGGCCAGGTGGCTTTTTTATTTACTTATTTATTTTTTGGTTCTGCTATGAATGGTAGTGCCTGGATTTTGCTGACATAAAATAGAGGAAATAGGAATTCACTGAGTTTTCTTATTTGTACACTGTGTTTGTCTTCAAATTGTAGAATCTAAATTTAGGTCCTAAGCAAGGCCACACTTCTGGCTCTGACCACCAGAGTCGTGTGCAGGTTTTCATTCTGTGTGTATGAGTGTACTGCCTGCATGTATATAAGTGTACCCATGTTGGGCAGTGCCTGCAGAGGTCAGAAGAGGGCATCAGATCCCCTAGAACTGGAGATAGAGACAGTTGTTAGCCACCATGTGGGTGCTGGGAACTGACCCTGAGACCTCTGCAAAAGTAGCCAGTGCTCTTAACCACTGAGCCATCTCTCTAGCCCCTTGGGATTCTTGGGGTTCTTTTAATATTAAAAACATTTTAGTGGGGCTGGAGAGATGGCTCAGCAGTTAAGAACACTGGTTGTTCTGTTCTTCCAGAGATTCCCAGCACCCATGTCAGGTGGCTCACAATCTCCTGTAACTCCAGCTCCAAAGTGTTGGACACCTGTCAAATGGTCTCCTTGGGCACCTACACACACACACAAATTAATTAATTAATTAATTAAAGTTATTGGTTTGCATTAAAACTCTGGAGAGATGGCTCAGTGATTAAGAACACTGGTTGTTCTTGCAGAAGACCCAGGTTCAAATCCCAGCACCCACATGGCAGCTAACAGTTGTCCATAACTCCAGTCTCAGGGGATCCGATAGCCTCTTCTGACCTCCACGGGCATTGCACAGCACGGTTGCACTTACCTACATGCAGGCAATACACACATACACATAAAATAAAAAGAATACATAAAATTTAAAAAAAACTATTTTAGTGTTTTACCTCTATGAGGAGGACTCAGCTCACTGTGTAACATAGGCTGGCCTTAAATTCACAGCAATGCTCCTGCCTCAGTCTCCAAGTACTAAGGCTATAGGTGTATGCCACCCCCCACACACACACTACCGTTAGTAAGATACAGACACCCACGCGCATGCATGCACACACACCCTTTTCAGTGCTGAGGATCAGACCTCAAGCTTGCCAGGCAAATACTGTACCACTGAGCTATAGCCCAAACCTAGGTCCATATGAATTGACATTTCTGTTTCTCCTTCTCTGTGTACTGTGAAAAAATGAATATAAATAACAGGAAAACAACAGAGAGCGTGGAGTGGTCTGCCTCAGCTGTACGTCTCACTAGCCACAGCCACAGCTCTGCCAGCGTCCGCCCCAGACTCTCCCCACTCCTCCCCTCCTCTCCCATCAGAGTCGTCTTTCCGTTGCTGTGTTAGAGCCAGGGCCAACAAATGCTCACAGAAGACCATAGTGCAGGTGTCCCCATCCCTGCGGCCCCTGTGTCATCTCCTCACCACTGCTGCCATCAGGGAGAAGCAGCCAGACACACATGGCCACGCTCAAGAAGACTGTGCTCATCCGCTGCTGCTTGAGCTTCATAACCGTTTTTACAGCATAAAATGTTTTTCTTCTGATTTTTTTTTCAACTGCTAAAAATTATAGAAGCCATTCTTAGCTTTCAAGCCCAGAGAAACAAGCTGCAAGCTGGACGTGTCCCATGCAGGCCTGGCTGTGGAGCATGTGCGTCCTGTGTCCCATACGGGCCTGGCTGTGGAGCATGCATGTCCTGCGCCTCCAGAACACCCCCGTGAAGAACTAGAACCTCGAGGCTCCTGCACACTGAGCAGGTGTTTTCTAAGTGCCCTGTGTATAGACTTAGGTACAGGTGTACAGCACCCACAGGCTAGTGCCTGCCAGCGTCAGCAGCACAGCAGACCTGTGAGGGGCTGCACTCCACCTCACCCTTGCCACCGTGGCGCTTGGGCCTACTCCTGGCCCACAGCCAATGGCTCCTGTCCCTGCCCCACTATGTCACCCCACCCTGGGCAGTGCTGGGCAGGCTGTGCCAACCCTGCCCTCAGACTGTCTCCTGCACGGTCTCTCCTCCCACTCCCATGTCAGGGCCTGACAAGTGGCAGTACTCTCCCAGCTGGACTCCCTGTATTTACTCTTGCCTTCCCTGGGTGTGCGACCATCAAACAGAATCAAAAGAAAGCAGCTGAGCCTGCCTGTGGGCATGCAGAAACACTGACTCCTTTATAAACTAGAGCTTGAGCTGAGTTCAAACATCTGTTACCTTAGGACCATTGAGCACTTCATCAGGTGCCCCAGGTTCCTGCAGTGTCTCTTTCCCTTTGGGTCTTTTAGGTGCCACGTTGGTGGCCCTGCTGATTCTGGTAGAGACTACAGGAGGCTGAGGCCCTGGAGTCAGCCGTTTGCTCTCGAGACCCTGTGTGACATGCAGTGTTGAGGACCAGGAGGCAGGGCCCCATAGCAGGAGCAGCTCAGTCACCTGCCTGAGACTTAGCTTTTGCTCTGACAAGTGAACACCAGTTTTTCCCTAGTTGTGATCTTGGAGTTGGAAGGTTAAGGAATCACGTTTTGTTGGAGCCACAGCAGATGATCAGCTGCTGCTGTCGAAGGGCTCAGGTGTTTGTGGTTTGCTTCTCCCTCTGCTGCCCTCCCAGGACTCGGGATCTGTGTTGCTGATGCCTTCTCACATTGACGCCTAAACTGTGCATGCACGTGTGCGTGTGACTGAGTTTTATCCATGTATCCTTCAAAAAGTTCTTGGAAACTTTGAGAGGGAAAGCTTCAGAGTGAGTGGGGCTTGGGAAGGGAAAGAGTAAAGCCTCATTCCTCCGTCAGCCTCATTCCTATTCAATGAAGTGGCGCTCACGTCTGCGTGAGACCTCAGAGCTTACACAGTGTTAAAATTCATAACTTAGAGAATCCCATTACTGGCAGCACTTGCCTGTTTTAAAGCCAATTTCTTCTTTCATTTTGACCAAGCACAGCAATCTCTTTAGCCCTTTCTCTGAACATTGCAAAAGAGGTTTTCAAAACCATGACAGCCTAGGATGCGTACATATTTATACCTGTTCTCACAAAACCAGCTCCCTTCCAGACACCCCCCCAAAAAAAATCATGCCTTCCTCCCCAGCTCTGCTTCCCCACAGTGCTCCTTGAGATCACTTGCTGGTGGCCTCTGCTTACCTGCCTACAGCAGGCCCTGGCCCATGGTTGAGCATTAAATCTGAATGGGACCTTTTTTGATGTCTTCATCTCTCTTGTTTCTCAATCAGCCATGTCCTGACAACCATGTGGGTCCTCTAATCGCCCCTTCCCTTGTCTGGGCCTTTCCTTCCCCATGCCAGACATGGGCCTTCAGCCTTACACTGTGCTACCTGCCTGTCTCAGATCATGGGAAGTTCTTGCATGGCAGTTCTGTGCCTGCCTTGCTAGATGAGGCTGCATTTCCTGGAAATTACACCCTGGAGCCGACTCCCGCCTTCCCTCGGTGAGAACCTTGGCTGGACAGTTCCACAGTGTGCCCCCTACCTCCACCAACCGCAGAGCTCAGAGCCCGGTGTTCTTGCTGGGGCAGTGTCTCTACTTGGTGGAGTATCTGCAGTTATATGTCACACCTGACCTAGCTATGTCAAGATGCTAGCTGCCATTTGTATTATCAAATTTCTGTAAACTTGTTTCTCTTTTACTGTTTAAAGTTTCATTATTATTGCATGTATGTATGATGTGTGTGTGTAGGCATGTACTTGATGCATGGCATGAATGTAGAGGGCAGAGGCCAACTTCATGGAATCAGTTCTCGCCCTCCACCTTTACATGGATTCTGGGAGTTGAACTCAAGTCATCAGGCTTGCGCGGCCAGCACTGTTTATCGGCTGAGCCGTGTTGCTGACCCTAGAGTTCTTTCTTTCTCTGCCTACAGCAAACAGCTTTGCCTGTCCCATCCCTCCACCTCACTCCACCCCATGGGAATAGGTCAGCTTAGGGTACGTAGAGGCTGCAGAGGGTCTGGCTGCCCAGGTCCAGGCCATCTGTGGCCCAGCTGTCGCACCGTCCTTACCCCATGGCAGCAGTGCCCACTGTGCACACAGCCCCACACCACTTTGCACTCTGTCCACAAAGGCCCTCCTCCCTGCCAAAGCCCCAGCTCCAGGAGAGTGGTTCCACTGTGCACACCCTGCCTTCCTGCCCATCGCCATCATTTTGACCAGAGACTCCTGCCAAGAGACTCTTGAGGCAAGACTCAGTTTCTGTCTGGGGACTTAAGAGAGGGTCTCATCTCATAGGCGCCGACAGGCTCAGAGGTCAGGGCAGGGCTTTTCATAACTCTGTTCAACAGTGACATTGTGTAACATGCTGAAAATGTATCACCATAGTAACAAATCCAAGGTAGAGCTTGGGGAGCGAGGGGGGCAGAAAGATGGCAGTAGCCAGAGTCAGCTTCACCTTGCCTTGGTCTGGCCCAGATCCCTGCTCTTGTATATGCCCTGGTGAGAGCCAGCAACTCT